GTGAGAAAGAGATTAAATTGGATGCCTGAGAGACTTACTCAGACTTACAGGCCCATTGGGTGTGATATCTACCCCAATAGCGACCTTGAGCAGTGTACCTCGCCGCAATGGACTCACCCCTGTTTCATATGGCACTTAGGAAAGTGTGAGTTTCTCAGATTAACACACCAAGAGAACAATCTCAATCAAGAAACAATTTTAATTCACAACTCGCTTGCTTCATCAAATGGCAAGGGGTACAATTTAGAGGCCTCAAGAGGGACTCATTTTCCTCCTTTACATCAAATCAGAAAGATACATCAAATTGTATTTACATTCTATCAAAGAAAAACTAAATAAACAGTAACATCTTTACATCGTATCAAAAAACAAATAGTAAAACTTTACATCACTTTCAAGAAAAAACAAATGAATGGCATCTACTATTCATGAATATTATCTACGATTTAAAAAGTAAATGAATAGTTTTCTACTATTAAAACAGTAAATGAATAGTGAAAAGCTGATCAATAGTAGAACTATGCAAAAAGTAAATGTCACTTCAATACTATATGTCTCCTTCAGTTGTCTTCAAAGAGATTCTTCTGCATCATCATTCGCAAGTACCCCTGATCAACTCGAATTAGAAGCCCCACATTTAAAAGCTGATGTCAGTTAATTGCTACTACACAATATGAATTCTCAAAAGGCTCAAAGTGATAAAGTCCAACAGTTAAATTATTTATTTCATTGGACATCTTTTGTTGAAAAACATATATATGCTATAGAAAATCAATTGAAGGAGAGGCAAAAAAATCTCAAATATCTGGCAGAAGTTAAGCAGCAGAAAGAACTAGAAGCTTAAAAAAGAAAAGAAAAGATAATGGATGTTCATGATGAGCACTTAAAACTATTTGAAAACAGAGAAGCCTATAAGAAAAAGAAAGCTGAAGGACCTCGATCCCTTTTTCTTCCCCCAAAACAGGAATCAATTAATGAATGAAGCAGGCGATGAGATCTTCAAATTTGCTTCTCAGATAAAAATGTTTAGAGCTTCAACTAACAATTTCTTCAATAGGAAAAGGCGCTGCTTCCCATTTTTCTGATTCGATATTTTGATCATTAAACATTCTTGCTCAAGTGTTTTATCTTGGACATGATCTTTGAAACTGCAATGATTACCTCCTTTATGATAAGATACTGATATGGCATACGTATTTGTCGTGTGCATCATATAGATCTTCTCGTTTTAGGAGTTCAACTCCAAAGTAGTAAGCCATGCTAGCAGTTTGGATTGTAAGGAAATGTGAATTGGACTCAACAAAGTTGAATACTTGCTAAAAACACACTCAAAGAAACAGACACCAAATGCCCGCAACGCTTTTGCAAAGCCTATATGCAAGACACTACAGGAAAATTGACTAGAAAAACTGACTGACTGAGAGCCTAGGAACAGCCTGGGGCTCTGATACCATAAGGTATTGTAAGTAATCTGAAATGAAGCTCCATCGAACCAGAAATTATAGCCTGGCTCATAAGGAAAGAAGTACTTGTTGACTTCTTGTTCATAAGGAGACCATTATATCCTTATGCAGATTCAAAGGATTTTCGTAATAAATTATTAGGATATACTGAGTAGGAAGACCATTTGAAATTTTGTTTCCAAAGAATAAGTTTCATAGATTCAGGAATGGTCAAAAGGTATAGAGATGAATATTTGTGTGATGAGGAATTTGTTGAAAAAGGACTATCTTCAAGTGAATTATTAGCAGCATAAGTGGAAGTGAAGATGAAGAGGATTCTATACAGTGGAAGGGTTTTGGAGGAACCAAAAAAATTGTAGAAAACCTAGTATCATATTTATGAGGGTTCCTTGAAAATAGTTTAAGATCTAATTTTCTTTTTGAAAATTTTTTAGCCTTTAAATATTCTGAGATAACAAGAAAACCTGTAATAAAACCATCAATATTTACAGAAACTCCTAATTCATTTAGGTAACTTGGATATTTACGAATATGAATTCCATAGTCTAATTTAGAACAAGTGATAGCACTATCTGTTAAATAAAATATACACATAGACCCTACAGTAGGATATACTAATCTTGGTAATAGATTTATACCTTTAAATTCTATAAATATAAGAAAATCTTTTGTTATAAACTCATCATTCAAACAAAGAGAAAAATTAGATTGTACACAATTCATTCCAACCCTATCTAAAAATCTTCTAAATTGACAAACTAAAGCTTTATTTCAAGAAACATACCTAACATCTAGTAAAGAAACCAAATATTATGCTTTTAAATTGTAGTTAAAGTGTGGATGAACTAAAATATCATTTTGCCTAATATGAGCGTAGTGATATTTTTTGTTAAATCATCTTTTAACTTCCCCTTTATAAATAAAACCTTAAAAAATAAAACAAAAGGGGAAGCAAGGCTCTCTCTCTCTCT